TCCCGGGGGAACGCGATTAAATCTCGCCACCGGCTGCCATTCAAATTACTTTCCCGCGCGCGAACATTTGAACGTTTGAAGGACTGTTATTGGAGCACATTATGTCTTTACGTTAGCGGTTGCAGAAATGCATTGATGTCGTTCGAAGGAACTTTCTTTCGCAACATTCCTGGCATGGAGGAGATGTGACGGTCGGAGTCTACCTCTTTGGTGCGATCTTTAATGATGCAGGCATACATTAAAGTTGGAAAGGGGCCTTTTGAATGCCGCTCAGTACAATTGTCAGAAAGAGTTGTCTTCTAGTTCAAAAAGTTCCCATTCATGGACTCCGATTTGTGGTTTTCTCGTATTGGTGTGATTTATTTAAGCATATTCTGAGAGATGCTCCTGTATTTTATCATATGTAAAAGATAATATGAAGGGTCGCACAACGACCATAAGTGAGACACATTGTTGATCAATCTGGGTGAAAATACTTTAGGTGATTTTCAGTGACAAAAAGTTATCTGCAGAGAGTTTACTGGTACTTCGAGTGGTCGCCTGTCTGAAGAGACGGGTTCGTCTCTTCATAGGGAAGGGTAACTGAAAGTTGTTGGTGGTTGACTATTCTAGGTATTCTGAAAATTTTGGTTCATGAATAGACTCGATTTCGTTGCGGTCTCAACGGCCAGTTAGCTAGGAAAACATAAACGGATGAAAAATTAGTAATAAGTTTGCTGCAAAGAGGAGTTTCATACAGTTTACCAGTTCCTCCTCTGCTCGAAATACGAGTGAACACAGAAATATTAAAAGTGGACTTATATCGAACTCTGTTGGAATAAAACTTCTGTGTATTATTCTGTGTATTGACTAACTACATTTTAGAAATACTACAGTAATGTAGGCTTCTAGAACTTTCATCTCACCTCTGGCAGCTAAGAGATGCCTTCATAAACTCTGAAAATGTAGTAAATCAAAATTCAAACAATATGCGCCCCTACAACCACTCCCTCTACTGCTTCCTCGGTTAGTAGGGTGTACTTGACTTTGTCGAGGGATATAATAGCCTGGCTTTATGTACCGGCTGGACATCCTGCACGCCAAACTATTGAGTGCGGCTGAAGCAGCGCTGACCTCGAGCCGTCACATGGTTTCTAATTCAAACATCCGCGCGCGGGAAAATTATTCGAACGGCAGCCGGTGGTGAGATTTAATTGCGTTCACCCGCGAGCATACCTTACGGCTGCTTTCGGGGACGCCATTCTCGGGGACATTCGAATCGGGGCTTCCCAGCCCCGAACAGGAGAGCATACCTTACGGCCCCAGAGTCAGTGGCGATTACGTATTGTAGTACGAACAAAAGAAACTTGCCAAAACACTGAGAAAATTTTCACGGAAGCTCACTTCATCATTATGATTCAGTTGAAATGTGTAGCTTTGCATAATAGCGACAACTTTATTTGCGAGGTCTTCATCACAGGGATCCAGTTTTTCTTTACTATCTTTGTATGCATCCATCGCCACTTTAACAAGTGAAAGATTATTCAAAAAGTAAGTATTACAATTCATCAAGTCGGGGAAGTAGAGGAAAACGGAAAATGAAAAAGTGAACCACTGACTTAACAAATAGATGATACGATCAGTCTCGCAATTATACACGAGGGACCCGTCCGCAAGCATTATCCGTTTTGACTCTTCCCTGAAACCTCCGTGACCAAAAAAAACCACAGAAAATCACAATATGGATACACCATATCACAGTAACATTATACAATAGTTATTTCTATCATTATTATGGAAGAGCGACTTCTGACGAGAACATCTCTAATACGAATTCAAATTCTACCCACCACAAATCAATACAAAGCACTGATGCTATAAGCGTGACGCACCTATGCACCATATACACAACCCAAAAAATCTTTTCTGCTTTCGCCTGTTTCTTCTTGCTTTTAGAGGATCCTTCGGTAATTATGACAGTACTCCCTACGCTTTATTTTATGCTATAACTAGGTAACTCTCCACTCCTCACATTCCCCTTCCTAAAACTATCCTCTGGCACATTCATTGTATAACATCTTTCCCTCCAAAACCGAATGTGTCGTTGCTCGTAACTTATCAGCAGCCCTTCCCTTACCAAGAGAGCTGCAGACAATCGCGCGACTGTCTATCTGCATGCTATTAGGTTGATGCATAATTATTGCGAATTTTTTAGCGGTTTTTTTCTCACGATAGAATTTGAGTATTGAATCGGGATTTTTATAGAAATGATCTTCTCGCCTTCCTCTACAGATAAGTGTCTAGAAAGTCATCTTCACATTCGCCACATTATGTGCTGTTACTTCGAGAAAGGTTGGAAGGTGGCAGAGTCATTTCGCGAACTCAACGAACTTTTGCGCCATAGAAGAGTCAGCCAAAGCCAAGTAAGGAATGGGATCTGCTCCTGAATCCGTCATATTCTCCGATAGAAACTTCTATGGATTATAACATTAACCGTATTCGTTGAGAAATTGGCAAGCTAACAGAACTTGCGACGAAAGTGAATTGCGATTGACTTGATGGCCGACACCAAGACGCAGAACGCCTCCAATAATCGAAACTTCTCCCCCTTACGAAACCGACTGCCTAGCAAGGGGGGGGGGGGGGGGGGGGGGGGGGGTGGAGCAGTGCTTGACGTAGACGGTGGATATGTTCCAGAGTGAACTTGAACATGTTTTTGTTCAGTAGTTTTACCATTTCTTAAAGTAAAATTTGTCGAAAAAAATCTGCAATAATTATGTATCAACCAAATGTTTCGCGGACATCTTGGAACCAACACTAAACACTTACTTGAACCTTTGGGATGTGATTTAGTCGATTTCAAGTGATCTCAAAACCGTATCTAACTACCCTTAGACCTTCTTACAATGATTCAGAGTATTTGTCCAAAAAGGTTACAGAACAGACCAACTGAGCAACTTCAAGGCAAACTGTCCGACAGGTCCGCGAATGAAGAAACGATCATAATACTCCTGCACCTGACTTATAGGCCGGTTCGTTTCCATCAATCGCGTTACTTCTCCCCTGGAAAAAAAACAACATGAAACACAAAAACAAATGAAGGTTATGATGGGCGACCACAAGAAATGCATACCAGTTGCCTAATTTGAACCGATAGGCTGCAGCTAGAAGCTTGCGTTCCTCAATAGCTCCCCAGCTTCCTTTTACATCGAACGTTCTACCTCCAAGAGGATCACAAATTTCATAATTATGTCCTCGAAGATGCTGACCCGCTTCACATCCATAAGAGAAGCACTGGAAATTTACACGAAAATTTAAGCCGCTCAGCATAGCTAATGTTCCGGTTTTAAATACATTGTACATTATGTTATGGGCTCCTCAGCACGGGCTATTCGTGAACCCCTCACGCTCGTTTCTCCAACCGCACGCAACTGCTTTTAGGTCCCAGTTCAATGTACTTTCGCATCTCTCTCAGAGGCAACTGCAGTTAAGACAGTTCCAGCGTTTCAAGGAGACCTACCGAAACATCCGCTTCTTATATGTTGGTCATTTTAAAGATTTTCTGCACAAAAAAATCCAAACGGGGATCCCAACTCCGAAACCTAACCAAAATATTGATTGGAAATCTGGTTAACGAGGAGGTCGAAAAGCCTTCGGCACAACACACATTTATGAGAAGAGGATTACTCCAGTAACTGATCACTCTTTTTTAGATATAACTGCTATGCTCACACATCCATATCGTTTTTAACCCTTTTCACACATTGTCTCCATCCTTGTAACGCTCCTTCTTTACAAATAACTTTATCAACATGCAAAAAGCGCTGGCGATGTTCTCAGCACTATTCAGTTTTGCTCTTTAAATCATTTCTGAGATTGCATTCAGAAATAATGCAAATATCCATAGAAGCGATTCACAGACCTCAATTTATCCAACTTTCCCATTTTCTCGAAGTAGCTCGGGTCCCACTGTAGATGGGTTAAACAGAGAAAAAGAACACTGGAGGCTAATTACCAAATAGAGAAAGAGGCACGGTCACAGGCATGGCAATGGGGAGCTCCGTTCAGTTTTTTCTACCTTGCTTAGGGTTCTCTGCGTAGCAACAATGGGTACAGTAGTGGTAAAATAAAGTGTGAAATTCGTGGCGACCCGAAACCTTTACGATTGTCGTTGTTATGACTTCGAAGTTTCAGAGAATTGAGTAGGGAAAAAACACCGCACAAAAAATATGAGAATATAAAATTTTGAAGTGCTCGCCTCTGCACAGATCATAGCAGGACACTCGCAGCATTTCATATGAAGTCTAAATTGAATTTGCTGCCGACAATTAATGCAGAATACACTGTCCTTGACGTCCGGGCCTCCCGAAGAGGAGGCCATGGCTTTCGCGTCTGTAAAAATAAATATTTGTGAACCATGTAAGCAGAGCTATAACTTTTTATGACAACGAACACCGTAGAAGTAGAAACTGAGCAAATGAAGCTAGATTGAGTAATTTAAGTAAATGTTAGCAGCTGTGAAAACGCCCAAGTTCCTCATATGACATCATTTTCCCGCATAACCAGTCCCACACTTCAACAACCTATTGTTCTTTTCTGATGCCAAATTGAACGTTGGCAGAGGCCCAGAGCACCTATTAAGAGATATTTCAACACTAATGAAGTCGCAGATATGACAAAGGGAAGGAGGCGAGTACCACTTCTGGGCACCCGACCGACCCCATTGAATATTGACAGGCGTGGGGTACGCGACGCAGGCCACGCTGCGACAGTGTTTTTCGCGATAGAGCTAGCTGCCAATGCCTTCTCTTCATCTTTTTCGACATACTCATTCAGTTGTTGGGGCGAAGTTTCGTATCCCCATGAATGAAAAATAAGGCTGCGCTCTGGAGTATTATGCTGTACTGCTGCATTATAATTGAATGAATTCGTGTGGCTTGGAGTTTGTAGGGCTCTTAGTGGATTCTACAAGAATTAACAAGCTCTATGTAAATAAGTGTTTGGAGAGCAGTATTTCAACGGAATCTGAAGCAGATATCTTGTAAAAAAAACTGTTGCTTCAACATTTCTCCTTACTACCTGAAAATGCAGTTGAAAAGGAACCGTTGTGGAATTCCTCCCTTAAGAATTTCTTCATCATTCAAAATCGAATGCAAGAAGAAGAGCTTGAGGCGAAATGTATCTCAACAGTTACCCAGGACGGACATCAGGAAACACAGCTAATTCGAGAAGGCAGAATCATCGGCTGCTGACCGCCGACCTTTATTGAGCATAGATTGGCTCTTGTGCCATTAAGAAAATTAAGGCTACCAGAGGCCGTAGTCGCCACGAAACGCCGTCTTATGGTTCGGTTAAATTTCATAGTTCATGAAGTATACTGTGCTCTGGTACAACGGTAAAATCACAACATATTGTCATATACTACAACCTCAGTTTTCAAAGTGGGGACATTCGACAGTCAGGTCGAGGTAGAGGCTTGGTTTCCAAGCTTGGCAACCTAAAGCATATGCCATTCGCCGTTTTGAAGCAGTATCGGTTATCTTGCAGGGAAGCGCCTTTCGGGAGGGTGGAAAAGCAAATCAATCTGCTGAAACTTCGAGACGATGTTGTGTTGAGGTTACCTACACCACATACTTTGGACAGTACATTCATTACTTGCACTGCAGCTGTGTTTTATGCTTATATCACCTCGACGGATGCGAAATTTACAGTGTGTTTAATTGTTGATGAAAATATAAGAAGATTACAAATATGAGTACTCAGGCGTCACTCACTTTTGTATGACGATTTTCCACGGGCTGGTTCAATTTTTAATCGTCCAGAGACGTACCAGCCCTCAATATCGAAATGGTTCTTTGGAACTACAATTTTCCTCAGTGAATAGCGCTCCGAAGTTCGCTTGCCATCCACCATTTCTGTAATATAGTTTATTAGTATAAGCGAATAGATGACCGGGAAAAAAACAAGAATGTCGGTGCATGTGAATGAGGTATCTGATGGCTGATCCACCCTTTGCCACTGAAATTCGGCTTCGCGTTCACGCTGTGTGTTGGAATAAGTCAGTCACATCGAACTGACTCAATCAGTTGCTGAAGAAACTATATTTTGTGATGTTTGAGCTATGTGTTTTGCGGCAATTGCCTTCAATGCTACTATAAACCGAAATGTTCACGAATATCATTAATTCTACGACAGTTTGCGTACCCAAATAAATGAAAATGTTCAAGTCCTTTTGCTCGTTGGAGGATGAAAGGTATAGAACTGGATGAGCAACTACAGCTCCGTGGGTACGTATTTTATCATACCTAAGATGTCAATAGCTTGTTCATTCTCGGAAATGGCCTAGATTAACCTCGAATCACTGTGCACCACATCTTTGGCGTTATTGGGGGACGGAAGGGCATGGGTGCATACGCGCGTCCGAGGTTGCGCGCGGTGAAGTGCGTGGCAATTCGAACGACTCTGGCGTCTATTATCGTGGTAAAAGCTCGAAGTAGAGTAGTTTAGTAGGGTTAGATGATCCTTCTCATCTACTCTACTTCAAATTTGGGCCACAATGATAAGAATCGAAGTCGTTCAAATCGCCACGAACTTCGCCGCGCAATTTGCCGCGCGTATCCTCGGAAGCACGTAAGTTCCGTCCCCCGGAATTGCGCGCGGCGAACTTCATAGCGACTTAGCGCCTGTTATTGAGGCCTAAATTTGAAGTAGAGTAGGTTAGAAGGATCATCTGACATTACTAAACTACTCTACTCCGAGTTTGTGCCTCGAAACTAGGCGTCAGAATCGTACAAATCGCCGCGCGCGTCCTCGGACGCAAGAGGTGACCGTCCCTCTTCCCCATCACCAGATCCAGTGTCTTTGCTCGAGGCTCCTTTTCTACGCGTCGTATATATGACGGAAACTATGCGTATTTAAAAGGATTTATGCCGTGCCGGATTACTGTAGGAGCCGAGACTTTCCGTTTCTGTCACAAGAACTTGTTTAAGGAAAGTGGATATGCTATTGGTCAGCCGTGCAAACCGCTTGTTTTACTAGAAAGCGCTTGCCACATTGCACCAAACTAGGAAAAGTCAGCTTGTGTCGGTGTTTACTCTAACATTTGAGTGATCACTCGTCCACTCGAGAGGAATCGCCGAGCGGTTACCGACGTCGACTTCCAGCAGTGACGAGTGTCCATTTGTACTACTCGATCATTCGGGGCTCACTTTTTAAGGAAAAGAAGGAAAGAGAGGTGTAGTGCAACTATCAAGTCTTTCGTTGTGATCGTAGGCCAAAAAATGTGGTGGGATCGCTCTGTTCATCAAAAAGTCTTATCTCCGGTCCACATTTTCTCTGAATTTTTCTCTAATGGAGATGAGATTATTGCATGCGATTTTGTGGGGACAAAACTAAATGTCGCATTATCCTGTGTTACAGAACTCCTAACTGTCCTAAAGCATTAGTGATCTCTCGGTTTGCAATCACTGTTGTCTATTGACAAGTGACTTCACCCTTTGACTTCACCCAAAAATCCTGATTATGCCCAACTTGTACAGTCTGTGAGTAGGGGAGATAACATGCTGTATCTGCTTCTTTGTAAAGATCCCTCCTTTGTAATCACGGTGGGTCAGCAACGAATCGCCAGTGGGAACGATTATCATGCTTGTATTGTGCTCTCTTTGAACATAAGTTATCATGAAAGTGAGTGCATTTGAAAGGACTTTAAAAAAGCCAATTACGACATATTCGCAGCTATTTTGATAGCATTGATTGGCTGGGCTCCTTTTGTTGCCTCAGTGATGTTAATGAAGTGTACGAAATGTTCCTGTTCATTCTCAGTTGTTGTTTGGGGTCATATGCTCCGTTATACAAGGCTAGAGCTTACAAGAGCTACTTGTATTCTATGCTTGACAGGAGAGCTGCCGCATATAACGGCGCCGTGGCAACTAATCACCCGGCAGACTGAGAAATCTATGAAGATATCAACATGGATTTTAAAAACAAGTTATACAAGTACAACCGCCTGAATGAAAAAAGTCCATAAAAGGTATACGAAGGCGGCCCTGTTCAGGCATATAAACACTAGGATCAAGATTATCGGAGGTCTCGCCGCATTAGTGAAACCAGATGGTACTATAGTCACCACAGATTCGGAAAATCTGAATTACTAGCTGAATTTTTTGAGCAGGTTCATGTTAAGCATATCGATTTAGAAAATTAAAAATCTCGAATTGTATGGACATTTCCGCAAATGTACAACTCTGTGTGGTTTCATGAACATGATATTCATCGCATTTTGAGCCAATGGGAATCGAGGCCGTCAGTCACACCCAATGAGATTTCATTTTGTTTCATAGAAGAAGTACATCCTTTTATTCCATCTCCGGTCAAATTTATATTTAATTTAAGTTTTTTTCGAGTGAAGTTCCTGACAGGTGGCATATGTCGTACTTATTCACAACAAGGTTGCTTAAGGAATGCCAATAATTATAAACCTGTGAGCATCCCATCAGTTTCCTGTCGAGTACTTAAAAAATTTTGAAAGAAATTTTTGTAGAGCATTTAGAGCGGAACAAGATATTGTCCTACAAACAGCATGGTTCTCGTAGATATCCATCTACACTGTCGATGTCATCTCCTTTGATTTTTCCAAGGCATTTGACAGGGTTTCGCATGAAGTTACTGGCGGAGTTGAGCCACATAGGCGTACACAGAAGAGTAATCTCTCGGTTGGAATCATTCTTGAAGCAACGCAATTTTCAAGTTCGTATCAATAAGATATACTCTGCTGTTAGGTCAGCACCTAGTGGAGTTCCTCAAGAGAGTGTTTTGTCCCCAATTCTCTCTAACATTTACACATGATCTGAGCTCCTGAGCCTTATCGAAAGCTCAGGTGTTAGTTGTGAAGCGTTTGCTTCTGATTTGAAGATTTACAAATCAGCCTCCACTTCAGATGATTCAACTGCAATTCAAGAGGCAATCAACATTGTAAGAACTACTTGGTCTAAGAAGTAGGATCTCCCCCTAGCCATTGAGAAGAAAGACTGTACTTCACATTGCCCTGGTCTCATTTCCTTCGGTTACCACATTGGCATCTTTCATAGTCCACGACCGGTCGCACGATCGATCGCGGACTATGAAAGAATTCGCACACTCGTGTCTGGTGCGTGCGGTTGGTTCACTCATAGCTCTGCTGAACCGAAGTCTTCCTCGGATTATTGCTGTATTTTATGCT